CATCGTTTTGGTGTATACCCGAGCACTATCAATAGATGCTCCAAGTGGTACAGGGGACAAGGAGCTGAATGCAGTCATTCTGGATGAGAAGGGCGTGTTTCTGTGGCGACCACGAACAATCTAAGGATTGTGTGCGATAGAATTTGCAGGTAGTTGACGCGCTGGTTTCACTGGATGTCACGAGAGATAGGAATCAGGGGGGCTCTTTTGGACTTATCAGAGCCCATTGCTATCCTGAGTTTATTTTCACTTTGAAAATCGTTGCTGGGCCTTCCATCAAGTAGGAGCTCCCGTTTACGAGGCAAGGGTGGTTCAGTACTAGTGCAGCATTGATGCAGAACCGATTTTTTCGACTTTGTCGGCTTAAACGGTGGTAGAACAGCATTTCAGATCTGAGCTCGATAGGGTACGCTGTCGGATCCGTTCTAGAAGCTGAGGCTTGCATAAAACACATTATGTCTAGGGATTCGTTGAAGAAACCGCTCTAAAATGAGCTTGACGAGTCCTACTCGCCACATTGCGTGCCACAGTCGATGGTTCCTCGATGTTTCTGAGGACCCGTATAAACACAAACCAAGGAATTTCAAAAATTGCATGGATGTCGACGATTCAGAATGGGACTGTGCACGTCACTGCATTTTTGTTTTCAAAGAATTGCACCTTGCTCATCCTAGGCAACTCGAAGTCGCTGTCTCCGTAATTTTGGCGCACCCTGTATAAGAAGCTGTGTTTCCCTTTCACCTCTGTTCCAGGGTTTTCAAATTTTAGGCCTGCGAAATGGGAGGTCCAGCCGACAAAAATTGACCAAACCGACAACTATCTCTAACTTTATCTTCCCTTGGGAGAAATCAATCAATGATGTACCCTCTACTTATACATGACCTCTTCTAAACATTACACTATTAGGTTTCCCAACAAGTCGCGTCGTTCCATTTCCAGACCTGGTTTTTCAACCAGAACTCGACGGTCGAGCACCATTACCTGAGATCTAGGTCGAAATTTTTTTATAGCCGAGACATTGAAAAACTAGTAGAATTTAAAGAACAAGTCATGACTAAGTTAGGAATGTACGCCTGGTTGATTTTCTCATCTTCTCAGGGATAATTTTTTTCAAAGAAATGCGGTCACTTTCGTGGATAAAACACCTTATTCCTAAACACCTAAAATTCGAACTAATTCCCAACAAACATAAAAACAAAACAAATGAGCGAATAGAGCAGAAGAAGTGCTCACAAAAGGAACACCATTCGATATGAAACAATGGCGTTTACGAGGAACAATTTCAATTTGAAAATTGCTATGGCTTATCGGTCAGCCAATTCGAAAAGAAACACGGCAAAGCTTTTTCGGCAACCTAAGAGTGGAATGTTTAGAAGAGGTCATGAGTAAGTAGAGGGTACATCATTGATTGATTTCTCCCCAGGGAAAATAAAGTTAGAGCTAGTTGTCGGTTTGGTCAATTTTTGTCGGCTGGACCTCCCATTTCGCAGGCCTAAAATTTGAAAACCTGGAACAGAGGTGGAAGAGGAACATAGCATCTTGTAGAGCAGACAATTCTCTTTCGAATGGTATATGACGATGTAAAAGCATGGGGATTTAGATGAAAATTTTTTGGTTTGAAAAAAAGCGACACTGTTTATGAGACAACCTAATACTATACCACAATTTGTTCCGTCACTCCGGGCGTTTATCGGACTATAGCAAGTCTACGTCAGCGTTTTTTCATTCCTCACATGCGCAGATACGTCCATTAAGGCATGCGTGACTGTATACCATGCAAGAAATATAACGGGTAATCTTAACGGCATCTCATCTTACCGCTAGAACGCGTGAAAAAGTTATGAGTCAAGAGCCTTCCAAAACATCGGCGTAGACTATCACGGTGCACTCACCGTGAGCAGCTCGCATGCCTGCTCCAACATAGTGTGATCAAGCTGTTCACGTGTTTGGCTAGGCTCAGTACACCTTGAAATTTTACTCGACAATTGCACGCAAGGGTCTCTTCTCGCTTCCCGTACCACTCCCCTATGCCCTGGAAAACCGATTCCAACTACTGCGTAAAGCATAAAATCAAATAACACTTTATAACCCACAACTCCCCCTTGAAAGGAGGGTGTTAGTGGCTCTGTTTACTGAAAAATCCATCGGTACTTCAACACAATCGTCTGCAAACAATGTTCATCAAAGCAACATTGAATTCCCGTTCTCTTACTCCCCAATGGAGTAGTAGGACGGGAATGTCGCTTCGATATGGGAGGACGTGTTCGAAATGGGAGGAGGTGTTCGAAATGGGAGGATGTGTTTGCTTACGTATTGCTGACTACTGACTTTATCTCCCCAACTATAACCATCCAGCTACCCATTCTGCCCTCGCAGATAGACCCGGTTTATGACGCTTCCCATAACTTGGCGGAGTGGTGTAAAAAGGTGCTTGTACTTCTCTATCAGTTTTGGGAAGTCTGGCACTCTGATTATCTCTCCGCACTACGGGAACGCAAACAGCTTTGCGCACGTCAATGCAAGCATCCCAACTCACAAAAATTTGAGCGAGACCAGTGGCCGCACAGTCTTATATAAAAAGTCAGAAAAGACAGCTGCGTACGATCAGCAGATGTACTTATGTTTAGCGCTGAGCTGTGCACGCGTAGCGTAAAAAGCCAAAATTAGTATCGTTCATAGCGTAATCAGTCAAAATTTAGCACATTATTGGCGTAGGAACGCGTACAAGCCGAAACCAGTATCGACACGCGACGCGTACACGCGCGTGCCCGACGCCATTCAAAGACGCATCCGTCGGTTCGCATCTACGTATTTACTGGTCTTCCTAATCATCATTTATTCAAACTGCATGGGCATATGTCCCCACATTCGTTCGAAAAAACACATGCGGTTGCATATCTATTGAACACGAGCTAATTCGCGGTCAGGTATCCTTGCGTTCTCTTGCTATTTGCGTAGTTCTTAAGTTTAGCCGTAAGCTCATTGATTGCTTCCTTTTTGCCAATTAATTTTGCAACGTTTATTTTCTTTCACCGTGATGTTTGTGATGTTGCTTTTTTGATGGCTGCCCATTACCCGCAGCGAGCAAATTCTTTATGCACTAAATTTTTTAAGTATGCTGCTCGCATTCTCTCCTATGCTATACCCGCACTTCCGTCTTGTCATTCTTTATTCATGAATTTCATTTAATCATTTAATTTGAACATCATTAGAATCATTTAATCGCTATTCAGATATGGTGCACCTTTGTTTTTAATCGTACGTTACTTTGGATTGACCTAGCCATGTTGCACCTCCCGTTACATGTTTTTTCTTAAATTCCACGACCAATTCTAAGGGATAAGTTACTCCTTCATTCGATTTCTCTTTCTTCGTCTTTGAACCAATGTACCAATGTACGTCTTTCTTTTATACTCATGCTAATGCCTGATACGAAGCGCAGTTCATCACAATTCATGTTTTCATGGTTTCACATATACATGATTTTTTTCAACATCGAACATTCGATTGCTTGACTTCAGTACTGTTGGGCCGTAGTGACGGCTTGTCTGCATGCAAATTGTATAAAATATTGGGGGGGGAGGGGTAGCTTCAGTAACCAATTGCTTGAAGGAAGTGACGGTGAGGGTAGGGGGTGGACCTGTGTTAGAAACGAATACTGTTATGTTTTCAAGAAGAATTGTGTTCTATGTCTGCTTGTTTGTTGTTGATGTCACGTTCGTTGTTTTTATGGCTATAGAGTCTCTTTCAACCGCTACAGCCCACTAGTCGATCGATAACCTGGAGCCGCTCGCCAGTGATGACGTCACGCCTGGATGGAGGAGCAACCAATCACAGCGATGTTCCCGCTAATATCTGGTACCGCCCCTCGAGACTGCTACGGAAGGGCCGCTCTCCGTCTCCATGTGACATTGAATGTCTGTAACAAAGCTGAGCTGTTGAGTCGAGTTTTCCTCCTAATAGACGCAGCTGCGACCAAAGCAAGAGGAATCAGCTAGTCCGCGTTACTATACCCCAAGGTGATGTTGTTGAACATACGCGGGCATTGGCAACGAGATTATGAATTAGTGCAAAAGTGAATTTTCTGTTATAATTTAACTACAACGTAAGTATACCGCAATTCAGTACGATTAGATACCGTGTAGTCCGCTAAAAAACCCAAAGCTTAGGGAACTACTCGAAGAAGCAATTTGTATCGCGGAACTGTGACAGCAACAGAATATGGGAGAGCAGACGACGAAGAGTTGAAATCATGCCGATCCTAATGACGACTCATAGAGGGACTGAGCCACGCCGCGTGTAAACTACCGTAGCAGAGACGTGCCCGTCGTTCGCACTCTTATCTATATCAGAGGCATCGGGAAGTTAGTGTAAATAAGCGTTAAAGCGCATGCTCCTTAAGTCAACCTGGCGCACAGCGATCATGTCATGCACGAGTGTCACCATCCATACGAAGTTTATTGTTGTATGTGGAGGCCGCGCAGCAGCTAAAGTTTTTCTCATCAAGGTCGCGCAAGCTCAGTGTACGACGATCGTTATCAGCGTATGCAGCGTGATCGCGACAGCACGCTCGCTTAGCCCCTCCCCGCACACGTAGTCATCGGTTCAGCGTAATCCTGAGCAGTTCCCGTAAGATCTCTTTCGCCATCAGCCTTTTGCCAGCTTAGGAGGTCCTTTAGAACACTCATCAGGACTGACGAATGTACGCCAGAGGGAGCGCTCGAGGAAGAATACAAAACCCGCTCAAAACATCCAACCGCATCGAGCTCTCGATGTTTTTTCTGCAGCCAACATCAATTTTCTGCACAATGCAGATGTTTTCCATGTTTGAGTGACTGCATGTGGATACATGCCCAGATGAGATGATTCCGATTTGGAGGGCAAGACATCGATGATCACTGCGTAGCCGATGCTGCCGCTTCACTTGTCAGTGTTGCAAACGTAACGACAACTCCACCTTGATCTGTTTGAGAAACAAAGACACGCACCGCGACATTTTATCACAAAAGTTCCATGCCCGCATGCGCAAGGCACGTTAGATTTCGCGTGCAGTCAGATGCTCCGCAGCGGAAGACAAGCGCTTCGAGTATGAAAGACGCCAGAACCAACTGGAAGAATAGTTCTCAGAAAAAAAAGTATGTTGAAGATGGTTAAGGAGGAGGAGCATTAGGCTGCTCCCTTTGTCTACAATGGAGGAGTTTGAGGGAGGAGGCAGGTGAGTGCTCGTCAACGGTTTTTTCCTGCGTAGAAAGTTGATTATTACATACAGTTATTCAGCGTAGTAACTAACACTCATACAGTATAACGTACCTCCCGTAGTACATGTCATTTCGGTCTTGCGTAGGCAATGTTAATGCTCTCCGTAGTTTCTGTCATTCTATTCTGCGTAGGAAGTGTTAATACCTCCATATGTCATTCATTTCCCCGTGGATAGTGTCAATGCTCCCCATAGTGTGTGGGGTTTCTTTTTGCGTAGGCAGGGCTACTTCTTACACGTAGTATAATTGTGTTGTTCTCACTTTCGCTTACGCAGTGAACAGACCGTAGGTCCGACATGACATTTACCAACACTTTTCTAACAGCATACTACTTGAGGATCGCGTAGGCGAAGAAATCATGTTAACAATTCGCCGTATGATGAGGGTTCCTTTGGACAGCGTAATCCCCAGGGAACCGTGGGAGACCGGGAGACCGCCTTTTTTTGTCTGACTCCGGGATACTTTCGTATTCCCCTCGCCCATAATTTGTCCCTCGATTCTTTTGAACGGTGAGGTAAAATCTTCCCTTCTCCAAAGTTATCCCTTGTGTGAGGCAAAACTCGTACGGTAGGCAAAAAATCCCTGCAGTCGATTCTTGTCATACACTCGTGTTCGTCAACATCGTCGTGCGCCAAGCCCTGCACTTCGTCGCGTGTTCGCTGTGCCGATCCGACTTCAAACAATGTGTTCGAAACATCCGCCGTCATTTCGTCGTTTCGCCTCATTCTGCCGACACCGCCATGGATTCATCATTCGTAAATTGTATTTCGTCGGCATAACCACTAATCGATGTAACTTAGGGACCGGTCATGGTCCGCCACCCATGACTATGCTCTCGAACCCAGCGCAGGTAGCCTTAGGCCCGTAGGGAACCGTCGTTTAATTGTGTGTATATTTCCAGCTGCGTAGACGCAGTGGTTAGGAAGTGGTAGCACGACTCCCTGATGGTCACACCCTGCCTCTTTCTCCTCTCCTCTCCTTTACTTCCGACCGCTCCACCCTCTTTTAGCTACTTTTTCCTCCTGTTCACCCCTCTCCTCTTACCTTCCTTCCTCTCTTCCCCTTCCCCTCCACACCTGCTAAGGCGCGCGTGGCTCCGGCGCACGTGCTCTTCGAAATTTCTGAAAGCAATGCAGGCGAACCGAACTGAACGGAGTCAATCCGACTTCGTAGTTTACGTCGTCGAGAGTAGCCGCGTCCGTCCCGCTGGATGCCGTAATTTACGTAGCCGTAGCAGCTCGTCATTGCCGCATTTGGTGGTCCCGGTTCGTAAGTCAACAAGGACCGATGCTGTGCCGTCAACCAACGGGTCGTAAATTAGGAGAGATCGCGCTTGGAAACCCGACGAGGAGCTAGCCGGATCACGTCGTCCCGTCAATTAAGGTCTGAATTCGACCTTTAAGCCGAAGGCGGTGAAGTACACTATACCTCACATTTTAATTTGAATTGTAGTGTTTTATGTATGGCTAATACGTGAATCTATGTGGTACTCTAATGATGATAGAACCAGTTTAGCTCCGCACTCACCGCGCACACGAAACGGAAGGCCTAGTTAAAGCAGGACGGCCGATAAAGCATAGGTGCACCGCTAAACCCGTCACAGGTGCCGCTTGAATTGCTCCGTCAAATGCGTTAGCTGACCGCTCAATAGGGTGCCCATCTTTGCGGAAGCTTCCTGATTGATACGCGCGGTGGAGGGCGGAGCGAAACGGTGTGTCTGTAAACAGTCACCATGCATCGGATGTCGTTGCACTTTTGTGGAAATGCCTTATCTAAAACTCTTAAACAACATATTATCTAAACCTCATGAAATCAACGCCTCACTAGTGCTGGGACGCGCTATGGATTTCGTGAAATTAGCGTTGCCGGCGCCTCTTATCGGATCTTATCAGCCGTTATCACTTTCTGACCCTCACCAGACATGGGTCATGGGCCCCCACATCACTGGAAACAACGGCTCGTGTTGTAGCTAAGCGCGCTATAAATTTTAATCTCTACGTCCCTTGTCAGATCTTATCAGTCGTTATCACTTTTGACCCCCACCAAATATGTTCCCGTCCCACCCCCTATATCATATCCCAAAATCAGCTCCTGACGACTGCTGCGACGCGTGCTATGAATTTCGTGACACACACACACACAAACAGACAGACATAGCGTTTTATATATAGTAGTGGGGATAGGATTATTTCCAAGCGTAGCTTGTCTACACGTGGACTTCCATCTAGAAGGTCCATAGGCCGGGCCGTGTGAAGGTATGATATGTCGTAAGACAATAAATTTCGTGACACCCACACACAAACAGACAAACACAGCGTTTTATATATAGTAGTGGGGATAGGATTATTAAAACACACAAAAACATAGGATTGTTAAAACACACAAGTTTACAACGATGGATAACCTGGCTTCAAGCGATCCCACAAGGTTCGACTTATCATCAGCTGCGTGGGTGGTCCCACCGATCGCATTGCATGGTTTCTTAATGCCATCCCAGTGCAATTGCTTAAACACATACCATCCCACCTCACCAACACGCAAATGTTTCTGGACCACCTTCACGCACTGCAACCAAGCAGTGCCTGCGTCATAGAATCATTTGACGTAGAGAGCCTATACACCAACGTAAGCAATGACTCCGCTATGGAAGCCGTATTCGAGCTACTAAATGAACACCACAGCGAGATCAATATGCATGGGCTCTCTATCACCCAGCTGATGACGGTGCTCAAGGAGTGCCTTAATTGCAATATCTTCAGATGGTCGGGTAGGTATTTCGAGCAGATTAGAGGTTTAGCTATGGGGCAACGACTGGCGCCTACCTTGGCTATAGCCTTCATGTCTAAAATCGAAGCGCCTGTATTGGAAAGCCACCCCATGCTTTACTGTCGATGACTGCTTCGTGGTCTGCTCGACGCAAGAACATGGAACATGTGTTTCGATCTCCTTAACACCCAATCGGAGCACATAAAGCTGACACGGGAAAAGCCCTCGGGAAGCTGGCTCCCATTTCTGAACATTCAAGTTAAATTGCAGGAGTGGCATGCTTTATACGAAATGGTACAGGAAGCCGGGGGCAACACAAGAACATCATCGTTCACTGTCAGTCAGCCCACCCTTCAGACCAAGCGAGCTGTTGTAAGGAACATGTTCCGAACAGCGGCTAGAGTTTGCACTGGAGAGGATGAGCGCAAGGAATCACTGGCGATTGCGCGTGAAATAGCTGAGCTCAATGGCTACGGGAACCCTTCGACCTCCCACAGAGCAAGAAATGGCGGCCCGGGCAACAGACCCGGTGGTAATTTCCTCAATGGCAAAATCCCATTTCATGGTACCATTTATCTCTGAGGAAGTTAGCATTTCCATAAGGAAGTGTCTGAGGAGGTCGGGTTTAGAAAACACAGTTGCCATTTTAGATGTGCCACCCAATAATCTGAAGCATCGCCTCGTACGCAATCGGCTCTACGACCGCTTATGTACCACCCCTAATTGGGTAGTTCTATGTACGTATAAAGGAGCACTTGGACACCAAAACAACTCCCGCCTGTCAACTGCCTTGGGGGCCCATAGGGTTCAAATCCATAACGGAGAGGATTTTGGGGTCACGGCCGAGGTCATGGCGCGCGAACCTCAGACCGCAGCGCGAAAAACCCTCGAGGCATTTTGGATTCAGGTCACTGGTCCAAAAATGAACCGGAGGGAAGAATGCCTTACCATTACGCGGGAGCTGAGGCCTTATATAAGGATGGCCTTCCACCAGTAACTCTAAATCAAGTTTAGTCCGGATTGCTGTGTGTCCCACTACTGGTTCCGGGTGATCTCGAGTACCGGACTAAGTTACAGTACGTGGTCAATCTTGGGCAGGGTGAATAACGGTCGAGGAAATCCTCGACCATAGCTCTCTACCATGCGAGAGTAGTGCCGAGAGTGAACATCCGCGCGGAGAGCACAGACGGCACGGCATGGCGAGTGTGAATGTCCGCGCGAGAGATCGTCTCTGATCGGGCAGAGAATCCTCGACGTGCCGTTGAGGAATCCTCAAGCGATATTCACCCTGTCTTGGGATTGCGTGATGACCTGTTTTGTTCTCGAATTTCAGTAGGATAGCGGAGGCGTTTGGTCGGGTAGTCATAAATTGCTTCGATCCTTTCAGGCTCTGAAGAAGGCGACCCCGCCGAAACGTAAGCCAATAAAGTCTGCTTAACAACCTCGTGGAGAGCTTACAGAAGATATCAGCCACCAATATATCATGTCGAGGTTTTTGCAAAGCCGTACATTCCGACGTAGGACAAAAGGTAAATGATGTCTGGCATATCGCGGAGGAGGATTGCCTCCAGTGATTAAGTAGCGGGAAGGGTTAATTGGGACAGCTTATAGCCTTCCTAGTCATCGTTTCCGCGTGGCACAGTGGCGAGAGGCGGGCGCAGACCCCTAATGCACCCTCACGCTTGAGCCGATGCTGTCCCTTCGCAAGATGATCCGCAGATGCTCCCGTAGCACACTGCAAGGGGCAAGGCGTCAGCGCAGGTGTGACACCTGGTGTTCTGATTACGAAGACAACTTCGCCTTAGCATGAGCGCCGTTTAGCGTCTCTTAACCACGCGCTATCGGACAAAATTTGAAACGGGTGACATCAGTGACATCACAGGGTGAGTGGCTTGCTCTTCCTGAAGCCGTCCCTTGCCCAAGACTTAGATCTAATCGCGATCTAATTACTGAGAGGGTGCAAGTGAGCAGGAAATAGGTGCTACATGGCGCCGGCATCAAAACTTATGCTGTCGTGATAAGGACAGAAAACGACCCTTTGATGTATGCTTACAGCAAATTTGTTGGAAACAGCCGTCTTGCCAAAGTGGCGCGAACATGCGAAAAAATGAATATCATCTCCATGAACAAGCCATCAGTTACCTTCACAGGCGTCTCCGAAATTTCGATAAAAACTTAACCTCAAATTTCGGAGACGGAATGGTCGATCAATGCCCTACATCCTCGTTCTGCAAGCCTTGTTTCTCGGAAGTAGGTTAGTTTTGGCCAATATGTGTGGATTTTCCACTTTCTCTTGTATTATATGAAACTGTTTTGAAAGTTTTGGGTCCATCACAATGACCGAAGCCATCGAACTAATCTGAGCTGTATTTCTCAAGGCTATAAAAAATTACAATACAGTATCTAAGAGAGTCCTAGACATTTGAGGTGAAAATTCTGATTAACGCAGTTATAACATTATTTCGTATATTTCATAAGCGAGCAGGTGCAGCTACACTCTTTTTCAAGGAGATATGATGAATAATGATCAATACTAGATCATGTGCATAGAAATTATAATACACTGTTTACTCACTTTAACGCTGTCGTACTGATCTACATAACAATCAGCTCTTGATTCGTACTCTTCGACCCATTCATCTTCCCACCACTTTCGCTTGTCTCCATTTCCATCATATTCCTTCCCTAAACAAAACATAATTCGAGACCAGGCTCTAAGCCTTATCATATCGAACGAGTGTGCACACGAAAAGCTTCCAGCACCGAATGAAAACAAAGTACTCCTCTACAATTTGTAGAGCTCCCTTGTATGTGCACAGTCTGATGTATTTTTGCGAAAATAACATATGAAACAATGATATTGCAGCATCCATAAAAGATGTTTACCCATGCTGTCAAGACTGTGAGAGATTTCATGTGCGATGACATGGCCGACGCTGCCGTACAAGAAGGACCTACAAAGAAGTACTTCAGAATAATACCCATTCCTGAGTGTGATCAATAGTAATGTGATCTAAACCATCAAACAAGAGAAGTGCCAATAGTGACCTTTTGATACCAATTCAATTGTAGACTGAGAAACTGTTCTATGAATTAGCACTTACTGTACTTAGCTAGATTATACATTCCATTTTTCTCAAGACTGTTTCTCCCTAAGCCTTTTTCCAAAGGCAATCGTTAGGTTCCTTGAGCTGTTCCATGCAGGTTAGCAAAAGAAATAAGCGCAATGATTTGGCTCTCCGTACAGGATAGATGAATATGATTTAATCCGCCTTCGTATTTTCTACTTACCCCAATCGTTGCATGGTAGCAAATGCGCATGGGATGCCACTACTGCCCTCATTATAGTTGCTCTCATTTATGAAGCCGCTCTAGTTTGTCTGTCTAAGGTACTAATGATGATTTGTGTTAGCATGATGCTAATTTCACTAACTCTTCACACAGAACTTTTTTCATTTTGTTAGCAGATCATATTTGTTAAATGAATGCCCGGGTACCCTATTCGCTACACCTTCATAAAAAATCTGCAATTTAAATACGAACTTCACGACGAATGGCTGACATGCTCTGCCTCCGATTGGCATTCCGTAAGCTAAATATGTGAGGTCCAAATAGGAAAGTACGCGCTGAAAGGACGCATTGACTAGTTAGGCTTGCGAGTGAAAAGCAAAAGTAAAAATCGTTGAGAAAGCAGAAGACAACAATATGTAGCTATTTTCGAAAGTTGAGACAGTCTATAGGCAGAGGCAGCGTGGCTTTAAGCCTAGTCGCCTGCTTAGAAACCACTCCAGAGTATTTCGTCGACAGTTGACATCTGCCGATGCCTAAGGATCTGCTACTCAAAAGCACATGTACGCGCGTGGGCACATATCACGGTGACAAGACAATTTGATCATTTACGAACAATGTGGCTAGAAAGGACCCACATCAACAACACCAACATCTTGATGAAAGGTGAAGCGTAAAACATTATTGCTCCCCGAAGTAGCCGCTTCTGCGTTAATTTATTAACGATGCCTTTCTCATAGCTAATCTTCCTGCTGCGTAAGTATGTGCTGTAGTGTAGGTCCATGGCTATCAATTTTGGATTTGTCGGTGTTCCGATTATGCTTATAGCAGTGCTCTAGTCTACAGCGAGTGGTGGTGCTTAGTTTGCCACTTAGTACGGTAGTGTAATTGAAGGTTACTGTAGCTCAGTCACTCAGCACCTCCTCGAACTCGAATAGGGGAACGACCCCAGTTAATTGCTTGCGTTGTATACTAATCTTTTTGGCAGCTCGAAAACAGGCAAAATAAAGATAACACCTTATACACGTCTACAGGCGAATGCTTTACAGGACATGGCCTTTCGCAGTTGTTCATGACACGATACCTCTTTTTTCAGCCTTTCAGAGCAGAACTCGGTCAGAAGCTCGTGAAAAAGGTTCCCGAAGCTGTGCATAAAAGGCGTCGCCAACACATTTTGCGGCACCGGGTGTTGCATGTGAGCATGTACATATCATACTTCAACTTCAATACTCCTTCTCAAGATTCCTTGTCCATGCAGTTACATTATAGCAGGCCAGTGATTCCCTAAACGTCGCTGCTGCTCGAACTCATTCCACCTGGATCCTGCCCCAAGTTCGATGATGTATCAAATTGGGACCATTGGAGCAAGACAATATAATTATTTAAAAACCATGTGGTTTTTCGTTCTGCTTCATTCAGTATTTTGCGTAGCAGTAATCCTGTTTCCCTTAATGCTCGATAATTTATTGACCCTCAAATGGAAGTTCAACACTCGAACATCTGTTTTCTTGTATCACTTTGCTTCCTTTGTAGCTATAGAGGAAGGTCAGGATTAAGCGCAAGCAATTAAGCCGGGTCGTCCCACAACCAAAGTCCGAGGAGGTGCAAAGTGACATACTGTGCAATTCAGTAATCCACTGATTAGGCCTTCCTTAAGTTCCAAACTAAGAACACACACCCGTCTTTGGCACATCCAATACAAAACATTTCGTAGGGTTTGAGTAGGAAATCATGATGCCACTTCTCATTTCACCGTTTCAAAATCATAGAAGGTACTTCGAATTAAGTGTGCCCATCCAGGTTGAGTTTTGGCTTATAGCTTACCTGACCGAATCCCGCATGCTTGATAGTGATACACCGCTTCAGTACAGAAGCAACATGAGCAAAGATTAGATCTGTGAAAAGTTCGAAAATGTCCCTGTCTCAGAAGTACACGTGCAGGAATTATTATCGCATCGCATGCGCATAGACTTTGTACTGCTATCCAAAGGGCTCTTTTCTTCTGAGCTGGTTTGGTTTCATTGTGGTGACTTGTTCATACTTATCTACTCGGACCTCTAAAATGTGTGATTGTTACGATGGCTGAGTGATATTGCCACCGTTCTCAAATCATTTAATTTCAACTTTGAGTTTTCGTCACGCAGAAATTATCACTGTTCTGGTGCACAACCGAGAACCATCTACAGATCTACTAAACAAGGAATAAGGAGATGAATACTATTATTCTATCGTCATTTCGTGTTTATGTGGCGAACACGAGCAATATTACCGTGGCGCACAATGGAATTTGCAGGTGCTTGGCGCGCAATTTTACAAATGGATATCAAGGAGACTCTTTGAAAATTTCGCAGAAGTCAATTGCCTTCCTGAGCTTCGAAGACGTTGCTAGACTTCCCAGCAGGAAGAGATCCAAAATACAAGGTAAAGGATGTTACAGAACTGTGCAGGGCCAATCATGTCCATCTCATCGTCTTTAGAAGTGGTAGGTTAGCACTCAAATTAGAAATCGATGCACTGTGAAATTGTTTGGGATCTGCATGGAACTTCACACTTTCGGGGATCCGTTCAAGATCGCTCTAGAAGGACGGGTCCCGCGCACTACATTGCGGGCCACGGTCGACGGTTCACCAATGCTTCTTGAGAGTCGTGTCAATGGCAGTGAGGGAACTTCCGAGATTTCGTGAACTTTCACGATCCATAATAAATAGTGCATTTTCGGTTCCACAGATTTGCGGCATGTCCATCTAGGCGGTTGGAAATCGCTGTCGTTATAACATTGGCGCAACCTGTATAAAGGCATTCAGGGCAAGAAGGGTTTGACAATAAAATGCACTCCTTTGCCAATTCATTTGCGCTCTGTTGGAATGCTTATTGGAACTACATCAATGTCCATCGAAGATTTGAGGTTTCGCAAAAAACCACATTTAGATGAAGTCTCGATGGAACAAACCGAGGAGAGTCCTAAAAAAAGGAGGGAAGTGAGAAAAGCAGAGTAGTGGTGATAATAAGTTGTACATCATGCCGTGTGATATAGCTCTGGTAGAGTTTGAAGAAAAGTAATATGGAAAGGTGGTGTCCCTATCAAAGACTCTCAGTGAACTCGTTCTCAGATACGTTTTCGATTTCCGACGAAGAAGCTTCCCACACCGACATACTGAAAATGACCATGGATGAGGAAGATGCTTGACCTTCGTCAATTACAGACGCACTTTTTCGAAGATTCGTAGAAATGATTTTTTTCTCTACTGGATTGTGCACCGATACTGAATAATTTCAGTAGCAGACAACGCCAAAGAGAATTCAGCTTATGCTAAACCGGTGGTTTTGTACCAATTCAGCTTGAAGGCAGCGGTTACGATTTTTCTAGAATGGTTCAAAGGAGACGTGGTAGTGCTTAATGGTAGCAAGTGACGAAATAAGAAGAAAAGTCCCTAAAATGAAAAATGGGATCTGCTTTCTTGTCTGTTTTTTTTTCATTCATGCACAGGTTACAGCTCAGAGCGGGCGTATGTACGAGCTCAGCGCAGCGCAGTGGTAACATGCCAGACCCCACTCTAATCATATTGCCATATTTGCGCCGACAACCAAGCTCGTCCAAATCACCAACTAAACTAGTGGGCGGATCATTTTGGGGCGGAGCGCTTTCGAAGTCCTGCTCAGCAACCAGCGCACCTTTCGTCGTGAAAGCGCCACACCTCGCTTCCTTGGCAGCCAAGTAACTGCTTCGTGTGGTGCATATGCTTCCCCGATGCGCTCCCTCTTTATCGTAATCGCTTCCTTTAACTTCATTTGGAGTGAGCACAGTTACTTCAACATTTCAAAGCTGATGAAAGCTGTATTGGGACACCTTAAGATTCTGAAAAAAAATTTCCTAGACTAAAAGAAGCGGGGCTGCGCTTGAAAGCGCAAAAACACCATTTGTTGATGGGCAAGGTAGCGTTCCCCGGAAATGTCATCGTCAGTGAAGGGGTATATATGGGACCAGAAAAGGTTGCCGCGATCGGAAACCATCCAACTCCGTAGAAAGCAACTTTGCACCTTCCTGTACATAGCGTTCTTCTGTAGAAAGAAATTTTGCCTGGGCTTCTCGGCAGGCACAATGTCATTTTAGCTTGAATTCTTCAAAAGGGAAGTGGTGATTTGAAAAAGAGCTTGAGCCTGACTCTCAGAAGATGTGAGAAATGACATGCTCAGCGCCTATGCTCAAGCAACCGTATGTCGAAGCAGTTCTGAATGCTACTGAACCTTTCTGCATATGCACGGATTCACTAGCACATGGGTTAGGGGCAGTGCCAAGAGAAACTAATACATCGATTTTCTTCGCATCCAGAAGGAGTAAGGGGGAACGAAGATAAAATTTAACAGACCAAGAGGCGCTTGCAGTAATTATTGCAGTATGGCTTCCATATTTTTGTATATGGCCTCCCATAAGCCTTCAACAACACTGTTCAGACGCAGCAATGTGTCTGCGCGAGTGCTCATATGATCACTCGAGCGACAAAGGTACAAATACGGGACTGGCACGTCAACGGGAAAGAAAGTGTATAGCAAATGCATTGGGCCGAAGCCTACCAACAGTACTGGAGCCAGTCGCTAGAAGGAGCAAACGGTGTTGTAGCAATGCTATCACAGCGCAAGAAGACTCGGACTGCTACAGTCAATATCCGAAAGTTGGGGTAGGCGTGTCACCGGAAGTGACGTGCACTTGATAGAAGTTGCGTGGATAAGCTGTTGCCAGCATGCTTTGCTGATATCCAGCGATGTATGTTGGAAGCAGCTTATCCACATAGCTTCTAGTGGTCGTCTCCGGTAACATGCCCACCCCAACTCTCGGATATCGAGCTTCTAGTGGTCGTCTCCGTGACACGCCCACCCCAACTCTCGGATATCGAGTATAGAAAGGAAAGAGAGACCCACAAATTAGGTGAGTAGTCCAACTGTCAAATTTGAAGGGAAGTTTACCAAGAAATGCGAATAACAGCTGAAACTTTTCCTTATCATCCTCAAGAAATCCAAC